AGAAAAATTAAAGGAGTTTTTCTACAAACATTTGAAAATTTCATTTCTAAATGGATCAGAAAAGAGAATTTTTCCCCTTCTTGAGACCAAAAAATAAGTTTTTCTCTTATCAAATGTCCAATTATTTTTTATTCCAAGAAAGAGTTAGTAAAATTTATTATATTGCTTGACATGTTTAGTTTTATTAAATGTTTCTTTCTCTTTTTTTTTATATTTTATTTTAAATATAACAATATTTAATTATTATTGTTTTTTTTATCGATACTAAATATATATTATCTGGATTGAAATACGTCAGATTTAATTTCTGTTTATACTGTTTATATATTTAACTGACAGTTAATGGACGTATTTATTTATTTATTTTATACATTTCTTGATTTTAAATAATTCTAAATATACAATTTACACAGTGTAATACAGAAAATATATATTAAAATGTTAATTTATAAATTCTTATAACACGTAATTTAAATAAGGTAGGTCTAATCCTAAGAGATTAAGAAATGAGGTTCATTTAAACCTCTATAATACACTATATTATGTAATTTGAATGTAATTATTTGCATTTTAAGTAATGTAGAGCTTTAAAGACATAAACCAGATTGCCTAAAAAGTAACCAGTTCAGAGTAATTAGTGTTTTTAGTAAATAATATAACTTTAAAATAAGAGGGGGTGTGTGTGTGGGTGTTTATTTGTTAAATGGTACATGATAAATTATTAAAGTAGATATAATTCGTTTAACTTTTAGTTTATATTTAAATGGAATAGTTCCTTATCTGTTAAGCAAATTCCCTCCGTTCATATTAATAAGTTATTGCACGATATGATTATTATAGTGGACGAAAATTATGCAAATATGCGTAAGTATCTATGGATATTTGCATCTATATTAAATTGTAACCAGTTCAGAACTTGTATCATTAAGAGAATATATATTGACTCCTATTTGCTAACCTTTATTGCGGTTTAAAATCGAGTTATATGATTGATTGCAAAACGTTTATGATTATGACAGCTTAAAAAAAAAAAAAAAAGGCAATATTGAGAAAATGAATGGACACAAATTACCTAGACGAAGATAGAAAATCGGTTACCAATATTATTAATTAGATGTATTAATAGTAAATCATGTTTCTGTCTTGGGGCATACCGTATTCCAGTTAGATAATATTAATTACTCCTACTAATTTAGAAGGCGCCAATTATAATCTATTGTGAATATTCTCTACGATGAAGTACAGTACAGTATATTGAAAATGTTATATATTAAATATAAGCTTGTTTAATCTCAAGTATTGTATATCTCCTATTGATATAATCTATCCAATTTTCTATTGAAATTATAATCAATTTTTAAATGTCTTTCATATAATCGTCATTTATTGTTGTTCTAATGACTCTCGATGTTACTAATGAATATTTTTCTGTAATTATTATTATTAATTTTTTTCACTTTCAAGCTGTTTTCACTCCCTTAATTCATTGTATCTTAATAAGTATTTTTTTTTTTTTACTCCCTTCGCTTTATAAATTGTCCACTTTGGTGGGCTTGCCTTAATTGTTACATTATTTTAATGATGTGAATGATTCAAAAGGTTCCGCCTTTGAAATTAATCATATCAACTATTTAAAATATGCTTTATTATATTAAAAAAAATATAACATCGATTATAAGAAAAGAAGCGATGATTGGATATTATTTTAATTTTTTTTGACATTTATTATTATAATAAGCGAGATAATTGAATGTTACATAAGAATAATAATAATTGAAGTTCTATCCGAATGATTTAATTGCTTTTATATAATTGTTTTCTTTTTTTAAATTGAAAGCGATAATACTTTATTATAAATTAATACATAAAAAGTATTATAAAATAAAGAATTTAATGTATTAAAAATGTTTTAAAGTTAACTTGTAAATGGATAAATATAGTTAACTGAAAATATATGAAAGTAGTTGGAAAAGAGGATGATAATAAATTATCGGTTAGACATTATTTTCGTCATTTCATTGTTGGGAGATTTTGGCAGTGGTAACACCTGCCAGATACTTTGTGTGAACAACAATAAAGCGAAGAACGGAATTTCGACTGGTTCCTGGTTCACTGGTTACCTTTGAAGATGGATAAGATATCTTAATTTATAACAAGCCACTCAAATAGTAGATTGAGTGAAGTGGAAACAGCGTAAACAGAAAGGGAGTCAATGGCTCTCGCACTGTATTCACCTCTTGATTGTATTAACGACAATGAAGTGAATGCAGATTCGCACCTATGATAAAATTTATTAATGGATATAATCTAAGTNAAGTGGAAACAGCGTAAACAGAAAGGGAGTCAATGGCTCTCGCACTGTATTCACCTCTTGATTGTATTAACGACAATGAAGTGAATGCAGATTCGCACCTTTCCACATTGTGAACATACAATAGCTATCTACAACTGTTGAAAACTTACTTTACTATAAATATCTAAATGTAATTATTTTATCATATTAAATTATGGAATTAATTTTCACTAAGAGAAACTTAATAAATACAAATAATAGATGGAATCAAAATTTTATATTTAATTTTCTTTTTTTTTTATTATTATTAACAAGTATTGTATAGAATTATTTTATTATATTTTTTTATAATTTAATTGTTTATTAAAACCGAAAAAAAAGTGATTTTTTTAAAAAATTTTGTAACGTGTAACGCCATCTAGCGATTAAAAAGTAAAGTAAATAAATTAAATTAAATAAAAATTTCTTAATTATCATATAAACTTTAATAATGTTGTAGGCCTATTTAATGAGTTATATTACATATAGAACTTTTAATTAAATTAAAAGTTTTAAAAATTTGCGATTAAATTACTAATAAATCTTTTAATTATTTTTATATATTATTCATTGGCAAACAAGGATCAAGAGTTTTAGAATTAGAATTTAAACCATTCACTTTACTTTTATTATATGAAAGCTGATTGGTGAACTTCTAACACTATAGATTCTTGATCCTTATTTGTCAATAAGGGTATTAGATAATCCAACGTTATTTGAATTCATCCATTATAAGCGTATTATAATAATATATCTTAATTCCATAATGCACCATGCAATTCATTATATTGATAGAGAATTAAAATATTAATAGTTTAATATTTACAATAGTTTATAAATAATAATAATAATAATACAGTCCTTTATACTAATATTTATATTATATGATTATCAATTAATGGTGTATTTTCGTTTCTAGATGTTATAGAAATTTAAAATATCAGGAAGTGAAAGAAATCAGGAAAGAAGAAAAAAAAAGGAAAAAAAATAGGACAGAAAATAATAAATTATATTCTAAATGGATAGAAGAAGGAAAGTTTTAAAGGGAAAAATCGCTTCAATTATAACGCCAAGATATTATTTATAAATTACAAGTAGACCCCCCTATAACACGGTAGATAATTCCGTGTTATATAAATTCCGTGTTGTACGAGTCACTTAGATTTTACAAATACGTGAGCCGTTCAGAGCCCGGCACACGTATTTGTAAAATGTAAGTGACTCGTACAATACGGAATTCATATAAAACGGAATTATCAACAGCACATAGGGGGGTCGACTGTATATTATGTAGTTGATTAAAATTACATTAAAAAATAATACGATTCATTTCTTAAATGTTAGATATATTTGTAAAATAAAAAAAATATATATAGTAAACTGTAGGCTTTTATCATTATTTTACTATGTTCGGTTTCAGGATACGCTGTAAGGCATGAAAGAAATCTGGTCTACTGCTTTTTTTACCCCGAGGTTACTTTGGTTTCTGTGGATTTTTGACAGTAGTAAGCAAACAAAAATCCAAGTATACAATTCGTTCGTACAGATAATCCTTTTAAAAAGAGTTTAAGTATATTCATGCGGTATCAACGGTTATCAAAACTATTCAAATGTGTGTTGAGAAATAAGGACAAACGTGTCTTTTTGAAGTGTTTTGACAGATACTGATTTTCTGTTTTTTTTTTTTTTTAGTTATAGGCCTATGCTCTTTGAAAAATCATACGTTTAAAGCCGAATAGGTTACTGTATATGCATCAGTAGAAAGATGTTTTCAAAAATACAACAAAAAATCGTTTTTTTTTCATATTTTTATTAGAAAACGATCTAGTATTATATTTATCTGCACGTTATCCATTTAAAAGAAGGTATTACATAATAGAAAATACATTTTCTCTTTTCTGAATTATCATAAGTCATTTGATAAAACCTATCAGAAGGTCTAACCCGTTTCCTGAAGAGGTTAAAAATACTTATCATTTTCTATTCTATTCATGAAATATTTTTATTGTGGTTTTGTTGTTCTTTATATGTACTTTAATGTAAATTTCCACGAATAAATGGAAATATAAAGAGAAATATATTAATGATAATTAAATACACGATTAAGAAAACGATCTTATATATATATATATATAATATTAAATAACATTAATTTATAAACGACATACCATTTTGAATGATTTTAATGCACAAGTATACTCAGTGATTTAATAATACTGTAACACTTTACGATCTCACAATTTCAATAAAGAGAGAGAGAGAGAGAGAGAATTTTTTTTTAAATATATAAAAATAAATTACCATTTTTTAGCGATATTTTATACTCATTCTTCACGTAGATTAAAGTTATTTTATGCAATAATGCATAATGTCTATCCACTTTTATTTATTTATTTATTTTTTTTTTACAAAATCGCCACAGATTAATTTTATCTGCATGCAGTAAATTATGTTGAATACATAAATAATAAATAAAAGAATTTATATTAAAATTTCGTATTTTAATAATACTTTTTATGCTTGGAGTTTTTTTTTTTTTTTTTGTATATATTCAGAGCACGATATCAATATGCTAAGAGTTGGAGAATTCTAAATTATACATGTAAGTTAAATAAGAAAATTAAGATGTAGAGGCAGACCGAGAGAGAGAGAGAGAGAGATGTAGAGTGGGAGCAGAAAGATCGATGAGACTACTAAACTAATGTACGTTAGTCGTTACAGTCTCGATTTTCTCCATGTTCTCTGCTCATGCCCACATCGCTAACGTGCGTCACTGCATTGAATATCCCGGATTAGGGGCAGTAGAAAGCAGCCATTTCTCAATATGATTCTTAATGGACATTTAAGATGAGTAACGACGGAGACTCTTTCAAAATAACAAGATCGAAAAATTTTACCAATGAAGAAATCTTAGCATTAATTCAAGTGTGGGGAGATGATTCAATTCAGCATAAATTTGAGCATTCTTATAGACATTCCGTCATATGGGATACAATAGCTAATCTTTTGAAATCTCGCGGTTATATTCGATCTAAAGAAGAATGGAAGACGAAAATTGGCAATTTGAAATGCCAGTATTTTAAACTTAAGAAAACTTCTAAACCAGGTAAGATAGTTAATAATTCTATGAATAATTTAGATGGGTGAATACATTAATAAAAAAATAATGTAAAAATTGCGTGTTTCTATATTGACAAGTTTATTCAAAAAAGTAAATAAGGATAAAATCATATCAATTTGTAAGACGAAAGAAAAATATTCCAAAAGTGCACAAAATACAATTCAAATTAATTCTGTAATAATTCTTTATCTTAAAATCTATCAGAACAATTATAAATAAATAAATAAATAAGAAACATTTACATTTATTTCGTACAGAATTAATAGATTGGCCTTATTGGAATGTAATGGAAGGAATATATAACAGAAAAGACGATAATTCTTCTGAATTTTTAAATAATACACTGGAAAATAAATCTGAAGAATTGCAATACGAAAACACTAAATCCAATTCTGGTAAGTTTATTATTTCATTAAGTACCATTTTTTTTTTGGTATTAAAATTTAATTTATTTAAACAGATGCAGAAATAATTATACCAGATTGTTCCGTAGAATGTGCTGATCAAATAGAAACAAAATACTTTGTCGATCAAAGTAATAAAGATCAAATTCCTGGTTTTGTTGGATCCGATTTTTCTTGTACAATTTCTAATACAGAGTGAGTTTGTTTACGTAATATTTAATTAAATATTATAAGCTTAGTTTTCAAAATAGGAAATAAATTAATTAATAGATATATTTTAATATATAAAATTTAAAAATTAATTAATTTTTAATAGGAAAGTATCAAATTTAAAAAGAAAACGAGAAGAAGAAATAGATCCAATCATCAATAGAATTTTACGAATTGAAGAAGATCGATTGAATATTTTGAAAAGGAGAACTGATGAAGAATGTAAGATGTTTGAAGCAGCTACAGAGTACTTTAAATGTCTGACTCGTCATTTTTCATCAACAGAAAATATACCCTCGTCTCACACTCCTTCTTCATTTATGGCAAATATATTTCCCAGTCTTTCTGCTTTACAGCTTCCTGCCTTCTCCTCTGTAATGGTTCCATTCAGATGCTCATCTTCTCAAACGTCTTGCTGCTCTGCCAACACGAATACACCGCCATCATCGTCAAAAATCGAAACAGATAAAAATTAAAAAAAAGAAAAACACATTTAGATTTTAATGTCTTTTGATCATTAAACATTTCTCCTTGAAAAATTATATTGAAATAATTAATCTAACAGCTTTGAATGTTTTCGGAAAGATTATAAAAGGAAAGTAAACACACATCTTTGTGTCTGGTATCAAATTATAATGTCTAGTTCCGGTTATAACTTCGAATTTGTTAGAGCTAATAAGAAATCGATGAAGGAAACATTAAGTTAGTTTGCGATAAAGAAAAAAAAAGATTAAATATTTTGAAAATTTAATTATTTTGGAGGAGGACAAAAATCCAATTTCCATTTAATAATTTCTATTACTAAAACGAAGAAGCCCGTATGTAAATAAAATATGTAAATAAAGTTATCCTGCTGCGAGAGAGAAACCTTTCATAACATTTGTTTTAGCGGAGTAGGTTCTTTTATAGAGAACCATTTTATTGACACAAGATATGTAGAATTGATGCAAGTATACCTGAAGGCACATATTCACAAGAATAGAACTCGTACGAAATGCAACATTTACCATTTCCATTCGAAGGAAAGTTGTTACTTGCTGTGTACTTTAACAGTTATGAAACACAAATATATATATAGCCTATATATTTTTTTTCCATTCATCATTTTATTATATAATATAACTCTATTTATGTTTCATATAAAATTAAATAAATTAAATTGTAAAAAAAAAATTTTTATAAATTTCTATTATGAAGAGATTAATAATAAGAATTAATTAAATCTCTAACAATTCTAAAAGTTCTTCTGGTTAGTGAATATTGAAATTGTTTAAAATTAATCGGATTATATATTCATGTTTAAAGATTTCTTGATAATTTTAATACTGTCAAAAGAAATTACAATAGAAAATATTCGAGAAAAATATATGACATAAGCCAGTTTTATTCTTTATTATTAATATAAAATAACTTCAAAGTGAAAAATAATGAATAGTTTGTCAAATAAAGTTTAAAATACTTTTAAAATAAACTTAATAATTTAATAATATTTAATTTAGAATGTTGATATTCTCATTTCTAATAAATCAATTTATGATCGTTTACATTAAAAATTAAGATAACTTAATTCAATTAATTAAAATTCAGTCTGAATTTTGAAAATAACAAAGAGTGTTGACATATTTACAATTTAGAAAGAAACCAAAATAATAATAAAAAAATATATTCAAGTTATTATTTTAGTCATTATTTATTTATTAAATTATTAAAGATGATTTCTAGAATTATTAAAACGTTCACTTTGTTATAATTTAATTAGCTTATAATAACAACAAACAACAAAAACTTTGCTGTGAAATCTTTCTTTTATACTTAAGAAAGAAGAATTTATGTTGACTTCTTATATCAATTATTAAATTAATTTTTGAACTTGAAAAATAACAGAAAAAAAATCTGCCATTGTCCTTATTCCTATTATTGTTATTCTTTTAAATTTACTATTTTTTTTTTAAAAGGGGAAAAAAAACCTAAGTGGAATCCATCATAAATAATTTCCTAGCAGAAAAACACATTGCCCTCTACTGAATAATTACTAATAAAATGTTAGTCGATATTTTCTAACAATGTAAAGAATTTAAAAATAATATTTTTTATATTCTAGATCACATCTGGGAATACTTTATTAATATTTAATGTGCATTATCAATACATATGATATTTTTATCATTTCAGCTATTTATTTGTAAAGATTACAGTAACATTTAATGAATTATTTTTTTTTTAAATATTCATTTTTATTACTTCTATTCTATTTTAATGAAAAGATTTAATAACAGATAACAAATTAAATGATTATTATTCACTTAGAATAATAGGCGAGATGAACATACTTTCTCTATTTCAATTACAATTGAGAATTAATGGAGATTTTTTTGATTTATTCCTCAAAAAGTTTCCAGTCAAACCATCTGTAAATTCTTTCTTTTTCTCACACCTTTCATAATAACAACAGAAAGAAAAAATTTTTTACATTACAGCAAACATTTCTTTAGTAAAATAAACAACTTTACAACGTCTTCGACACCTCCTGAAGGTGTCGAAGACGGTGTTCATTTTTGCTAATACTTTTTGTGGTTTACACTTTAAATTTATTTCCTTATATTATATAAATGTATAAAACTTTTAAATTTGTAAATCTACTACTATTTTATTTCATGGTAATATATTAATAGAATAGGAATTAAAACTAATTAAAGAAATATATTCAATTGAATTCATTCCTCGAATAGTATTTGTTATACTTTTGTAGCAAACTCATTTAATTCTAATACGTTCTAAGATATTGATTCGTATAAGAAAGAAGGAACTTAATTAATTACAAATTAATCGATTTTATTTAGTAATATCTCAAATATACTGTATTAGAATTTTTGTATTTGTACTTTTAAATTTTATTTATTAAATATATAAAAAAAATTTGCTACGATGTTTTCAGTAGAAAAGATTTTGAGTGAAGTAAACGGAATTTCGTTAGTCGACAGCGAAGAGGTGCAGAGCAATTAATGTAATGTGTCGATGACCCGACTACTTGCTAATTATGGTAAAGTCTAGGGACGATACTTAATCGGACGATAAAAGGGTTTTGACAGCTGGTCCAAATGACTTTATTTTCTTCCCTTCGGATGGTTAATCTAGCAAATGACATTTGCTATTATTGGAGTGTGATCTGTTGCAACTGTTCTGACTTTGTTTACATCAGTACATTAAAATCAAACAAATCTTTATCACAGTTGAATGATTTGATAACGACTTACATTATCTGCCATATAAATTCTTTTATTTCAAACATGTTGTATAATTTAAAGAGTAATTATTATATTTCAAATTAAACTTGAAAATTTGAATTGTTATCAGTTGAATTTTTATTTTATTTTTTTTTTTAAATTTAAATATACAAAAAATAAAATAATAAAAAATCTTTAGATAATTCGAAGTTTATAATGATGAGTTAAGTTACTATATATAGAAGTCGTTATGAATTAATTAAACCATCCCTCATAATTATAACCATTAAATACGAATTGGATTACGAACAACGAACTAAACAATTACATAAACCATAAATTATTGTCTAAATATTAACATTATAGATGCTAAATATATAAGTTAAAATCAATATACTGAAACATTAAATTTATTAAAACTATTTCGTTGTTAAAATATTTTGCTTTGGTATATAACATTTTAAAAAAATATATATTTATTAAGCAAATTATTTAATCAAAAATTTATTTATTAAATGATTTCAGGCAGGAGTAACTTGATTTTCCGATAGAATATATTAACAGATTGACTCGAGATAACGAAAAATCGATTTCGTGTCTTTCTATGCTGTTCTGGGAAAGGTTTTAATCCCGGAGATGTCAACATCAACATCTTCTAGATGAACAACATAATCCTGCACTGCTTTACTGCATATTGATTGAAACTAACTTCTAAACATTTGTAAAGTAAATTTATTGTAAGAGTATTTTCTCAAGTATATTTTGAAAAATCATCTTTGGGAATTAATTTTAACTAAAGCTAATCAATAAAACGTGTACAGTAGACCCCTCCTATAACACTGTTGATAATTCCATTTTATATGAATTCCATGTTATACGAGTCACTTAGACTTTACAAATACGTGTGCCGAGCTGTGAACGGCTCACATATTTGTAAAATCTAAGTGACTCGTACAACACGGAATTCATATAAAACACAATTATCAACAGTGTTATAGGGGGGTTGACTGTATATATCAACCATTTGGAAAAATTCAATAACAGAATTTTGCATTGTTTTCAATGATACAAAAATTTAATATAATAATAAAATATTTATTTCCTTCATTTTAATAATTTATAAATTTTTAAAAATGAATTACAATTCTTGTCTAATAATTCCTCTCCATTTGATAATTTTTATTACTTTATTATCGAAATTCTAATTTCCTTTATTCGTTAATTCAACGTACGATCCTTAAAATATACTGTCAAAATGTCACCGATAAAGTTCATTAACAGAATTTTTCATAAAATAATATAAAACTTTAGCGTGTTTTACTGTTTTATATTCTTATTTAATATAATTAAAGTTTGCAAACCTAACTAAAAGGATCAATATTAGTTTAATGAAGATTAGAGTATGGATAAAATACAAATTTAAACTTCTCCATTTTTGGTAATTTAATTTATGTTTTAAAGTCAATTTTAAAAGTTATAATGATAATATATAACAGAGAATTTTGTCGAGTTTGGGTATTGTTTGCCATCTGTTTTCGTCTAATATTCCGTCGAGGGTGGTGGGGAGATTACATTCACACCTGATCCTATACCGACATTGTGGCAGGACAGATTGGTAGAATTGAAAAAGAAATCGGGGAGTGAGGAGGGAGAGGGAGATGCATCCACCACAACAAGTCATTACTAATGATAAATAGAATATTGTATTGTCTGTTTGGAGAAGAAACTTGGTTGTCAATACCGCGACTGTCTATTGTCGCTTACAAACATCTGCTACAGTTCTATAGATATGAAATTTCTCAGATAAGGAAACAGCTGCGATATATAACTGTATATATATATATATATATTGACAGTCGTCTCAGATATTAATTATTAGTTTTTCCTTAATGTCAAAGTTTCTTCAAAGTTTTTTTTGATTCCTTTTCAACAGGCATTTTATTATCGAGTCCGAATCCATGGACACAATGGAATCCCTTTAGTTTTTCTGTCCAAAGTTATTCAATAAAATGAATACAATATCTGAAAAAAAAAAATATATTATATATAGTAATTAATAAGTTGAGATTTTCTTAATACAAAACGAAATAATAGAAAATTCATCTCTTTGTCAATATTGTCAAGAAAATCTCGGTACCTTTATTCAAATCCAAATCAATATATACTCTTACCAGATAAACAACGTTAGCAGTTTGAAAGCAACTGTTTGAATGATTAATCAATGTTTAAAATGTTAATTGCGTCTAAGCAATTTATCGGTAGAGAAAGCCTGCGGTCAGTGGAACAGAAAGTGTGGAATTTGTTAAACCCGTTTACTGTAGTATTAGCTAAAGCTATATACGGTGTATAGAGGGAGAACCGTGGTATTTGAAATTCTCAACAAACGTTTGTTAGTTGTACTCAGCCAATCAGTTTTGTCAAAATGCAATTTCCAAACTGTTTTGTATTCAGAGTAACAAATATAATTTAAACGGAGTAAATACGTTGGGTTTGTTTCCATGTCAGGTTATTACAAATCGAATATCTTTTAATTTGTTCGTCATATGATTTTTTAGTGCTTGTTTGTATTTTAAATATTAAATAAACGTCGACTCATCTCTCTACTTAATCCATCTCTTCTTTATAATCTATATAGAAAGAAAACAATTCTCTATACTTTATAGGCCTATATTTATTTGTTTATATTATATTTTAAAGATTGATTAACAGACATTTTCTTCACACTTTATGCTAATANTATAACTATATATATATATATATATTGACAGTCGTCTCAGATATTAATTATTAGTTTTTCCTTAATGTCAAAGTTTCTTCAAAGTTTTTTTTGATTCCTTTTCAACAGGCATTTTATTATCGAGTCCG